TCTCCTTTTCCAGTTCAATAATAAAGGGGCTTGTATACGTTTAATCCAAATTGTCTCTGCAGCATTTAATTCCTCTATAGTTGGCAGGTCCTTTATAGCTTTGAAAGAGCACTGGCGAAAGGCATTAATTATTCTGGCAGTAACATAAATGAGTTTCCGATAGGACTGAAAACCTTCAATATCAAATAAAGTTGTCTCTGTGTCTAAACTATTAATCTCAATAGTATTACTAATGACGGTCTCTTCTGATTTTAGTGGTATAGATTTAACAGGCCACTGTGAATAAGGCAACTTTAAAAAAGGTGGCCCTTTCTGCCATTTCGATTCAGAGCTAATGTCAATGGTAGGATCAGGTCGAGTCAATAAATCAGCTACATTACTGTCTGTAGGGATCCAATGCCATTCTTCATTACTGGTGGTTTCTTTAATTTCTGATATCCTATTAGCAACGTATGTACCAACAGAAATGTTAGGCTTCATAATTTGAGCAAGTATAATTTCAGAATCTGTAAGATGATACACTTTATGATACTGGATGCTGCTCTCCTTAATAATTGCGTTACGGAGACGGACACCCAGAACAGCACTAGAAAGTTCAAGTTTAGGTATAGTTTGCTGCTTTACAGGAGCGAGTCTACTCTTTGATGCAAGTAGTCTAGATTCATAATTTCCTCTATCAACTTGCCAACGAGCATAGGCACATGCAGAATAGGCTTGGGTACTAGCATCAGAAAATATTATTAAACTAGGTTCAATAAGAGAGGTATTTCTAATGCATCTTGGTATGCATAAGTTTTCCAATTGGAATATACTCTTAAAGAATATATACCATTTTTCCCTGAGATTTCTAGGCAATGGATCATCCCAGTCAAGTTTCTTTCCCATCTCATCCAAGTATACAATAACCTCTCTCATTAATAATTTTCCACATAATATGATAGGGGCAGCATATCCCATGGGATCAAAAATGGTAGCTATCTGGCTGAGAACTTGTCTTTTAGTTAATATCTCAGGGAATTCCTTATCAAGAGTCTCTAATCTAACCGTTACACAAGAAATCTTGGATTCCCTCTTCGGCATGAATCTCAAATTTGTTTTAAACCACATTTCATCTCTTTCAGGATTCCACATTATGCCGAGTACCTTTTCTCCTTCAGTATTCAAAAGATTAATGTCATTCTCAGTATGTGGATTCCCATTCATTACCCATTTCTTAATATGGAAACTACCTTGTTTTAAAATATATTCAATATCATTCATGCATTCAATAGCATCATCAATGTTGTCTGCACTATGAATTATGTCATCCATGTAACTGTCACCTATAATAACATTCGCAGCCTCAGGAAATTTTCTTTATATTTATATGCTGTTTGTCTCATGGCCAATACTGCAATAGCAGGACTACAAATGTCTCCAAATGGAACTGCTGTCAAAGCATAATGATCAGGAGGACGATCTTCTAAACCTCTCCATAAAAATCTGTGAACATGACAGTCAAATTCTGAAAGTCTTATACTATTAAACATCTTTGAAATATCTCCGATAAATGCAATAGGATTCTCTCTAAATCTAAGTAATAAACCAAAGAGGTTGTTTAATACATTAGGGCCCTTAGCCCAGTAGTGATTCAAAATATGTCCATTGTAAGAAGCAGAAGAATTGAACACAATACGTGTTGGTGTTGAAATGGAATCAGGTTTCAAGATTTCGTGATGCGAAACATAATGTACTGGGCCCGAATAATGCCTAATTTCATCTTTCGTTAATTTTTTGCAACTCCTCTTTTCAGCATATCATCAATTTGTTCTTTATATGCTTTTGAAGACATTTCACCTAATTTTCTTAATCGTCTTTCAGTTCCCTTTAATCTCATTATTGTAGCTGCAAAGTTATTAGGGAGAAGATATGGATCCTTTATCCAAGGATAGTGTGCTACCCAAACCTTCTCCCTTTCTTGATGATTAACCCTTGAGTATTAATTTCATTTCTTCTTCCTCCTTTATAGTAATGTCCAATTCTCTACTACATTTGTTACAATTACTACAGTTATCACACTGAAGTTTACAATTAGTCCCTAAATGATCCACTGTGAAAAAATTATCCAAATCTTCCTTTAAAGTTTTCCAAGGTTCTCCATGTAGTGCATCTAATTCTCGGTTAATCTGTATATGATTTATCTTTGCACTATAATATCTAGTATTATTATCCTTGAAGTTCTGATGTGAACCTCTGATGCAGTAACCAAAAGGTCCTTTCATAAGTTGTAATTTCCCTACCGTTTTCACAACACTTGGGATCATGTCACAATTATCCGCACCTATTAATAAGTCTACTTTCCCTTGAGGTCTTAATATGTCAGTATTTGTGGAGACATCGAATATATAGTGTATTTCACTTATGTCTACTGGTTTCACTTCAGAAGTAATATCGTCAATCCCTACACAATGTACTGACCTTATCTTCCCTGTGACATCTATGAGAGGGACTTCATAAAGTTTGGTAGAAACAGTATCACAAACATTTCCTACTGTCACCATGGTAATGTTATAAGGAATCCCACACAAACCAAGTTCTCGAGCTTTACTGTGTGTAATCAAACTATTAGTGCTTCCAGGGTCAAACAGAGTAACAATTTCCCTGTCTTTGCAGTGAACTTGTCCAATCATTAATAAAATAGAATTCTCTGATTTGTTGATATTGATATTCACTTCATTTGGATTGATTTGTGAAAACAGGTAGTGTAATTTAGGATGATGTGGTTTACCGCAAACATTACCATGTTTCATTTTGATAAAACATGTTCTCCTTTCATGGCAATTTTTCTGACTGTGCCCTTTACCCAAACAATGAAAGCATATAAAGTTTTTCTTCAACACATCCATCTTAACTGTAGGTTCCAAGTTATGGAATACGGAACATTTATGGATCGAATGATTATCTGAATTATGGTACCAACAATAAATACTATTACCCAAAGGAAATCTAGATTGTGTTACTTTGGGATTCCCTGTTATAAACTGAGTCATCCTTTGCAAAATATTTTCTATATTTGCCTGGTGTTCGGTTTGTTGAATTTGCAATTTTTGTAAGGCACTAATAAAAGGGTCATCCCTCTCACTTACTTCTACATTATGTACACTTGCTTTATTTGGTTGACTAAATTTGCGTACATCTTTGTCCATATAATCCAGTATTTGTCTTTCTTTCAACAAGAATTCCATAAGGTTTGGGAAGGCACTTGATTTGTCCGTCAAGTCTTGATAAATTCTTGTCCAATCCCGCCTTTGTTGTGAAGGCAATATTTTCTCAATCAAACTTATTACAATCACAGTAGACATTTGTTCCTTTAATTGATTTCTCTGCATGTCTGTCCAACAATTTTCAATCACATTTACTGCATCAATAAATTTAATAGTGTCACCTTCAGGGATTGGTTTTAGTTTTCTTAGCTGTTCAATTATGCAATCGTTAGTCTAATCGGATCAGCATATCTCTGATCAAGACGATAAAACATTTTATCAAAATCATCCTCCACCCCATGAACAACACTTAATGCTTCTCCTGACAAACACTGAAATAATGCATAGGCATTCTTCCCATAAGTTTCCGTCATAATCTTTCTATAGTTGCTACGAAAAGTTTGATATTGTCGGATATCTCCATCAAATTTTGGAGGATCCAATGGCTTTACTTTAATCTTTAACTTCTCAGTTGCACATTCCTCTTCCACTTTCTTTCGGCTAGCCATTAGCTGAGCATATGCTTCATTTTTTATTATTTCAGCCTGTTCTATATAGAGTTCCTCTTCCTCTAGCTTCTTATCAAAATTTTCTTCTACACTTTGGCACATATTTTCAGTTACTTTTCCATGTAATATTTCTAACTCACTGAAAGCTTTCTGAACCTCCATATAGTACGACTCAATTTGGTCCCATGATGAATTTTCACTTACTTGTTCTCGTAATAATTTGCATTTCCTACTTAACTTCCCTTTCGCTGTTCCTCTCAGACGGCGTAGAGATTCCAGTTCTGTAGGTTTCGACATCTTGGCCAACTGTTGTTGGAATGTTAGCTCCAGACTCGTCAGGCAGGGTAAAACACAACGTGCTGCAACTCTTTATTCTATTTGTTCCAACCTGCAAAAGTTTCCAGAATATAATTCACAGAAAGATACATAAATGTAATTGTTGAAATACAAAAGTATTGGTTAACTATTCATAAATCACAGTGAGGCACATGAATGTAACAGTTGAAATACAAAAAAGATAGGTTAGCAATGATCACCCAAAATAATTACATAATATCCTATACAAAGATAATACAATATAATTCAAAATAAACCTAAATGCTTTATAGCAATCCTGAACAATAACATATGGAATTTCCAATCTCAACATTAAATCAATATTAATAATTTCCCTTTGAAGGTAGCATCTCACAACACTTATGTTAATATCATTTCACAGCCATAGAACATGTTAAACTAATTCCTGAAGTCTCATCATCAAACTCAAAACCTAGAATATTTTTAAGAATTACAAAATTATATACTTACAACATTGTCGACACCACCAACTGCACCAAGACAAAGTCCAGAACTTCAATGCGGCACTGTCATGTCTCAGAAGGGCACATTTACTGTCCCTTTGTATTCACTCTCACTGGACTGCACAATTCCATGATGCTTATGTTTGTAATAATGATTCTACTCTAAAATATCAAAATCTTTGACAGCGGCCGCTTTCCATGTTCATTCGATTGTTGATTCCTCTCTTCTCTCCTCACCAACAAGCTCTTATAAAATTATACTTAAATGTACATGATCTTGTAATTTATTTTAACAGTACATGGTTCCTCTCTCTTAAGTAATAAATCATTAGAAATTACAGTATTCCTCAATGTGCATAGCAAAAGTCGAAGATTGTTTATAATGGTTTATAAACATATAAAACGAATATTCCAGAAGATAATGTTGGAACTTCACATAAAACAGAAAA